GGTCATCTTCTGATGTTTCCAGTTACACATTATTATTTACTGATTTGTAACGTGAGATTCCTATATTCATAATTACATATACAGACCATAAAAACAGTTACACTCATATTTATTTACTCGTACATACTATTTATTGGATACTTACTCATTTGAGACTAATTTTAAAATTAAATTTTTTTGATTAAGCTAAAATTAATTTTATAATTTATCTAAGATTAATTTAAAATTAACTTAAAGATTGATTTAAAATCCGGTCTAGAAAACCGAAATTAACGACCGTGGGGATTCGTTGCGCTGACCGCGCGACACCCTCTATCCGCTAAAGTTGGCACTAACTTTGCCGACAAGCGACGGTCGCTCGGTCAGTATAGTTCGCTTGAGGACAAAAATCACGGAATTTGCTTTTGTTTTTTATTTAAAATTTTGAGCTGTGATCGAATTCGTGTCTTGAGCTTAGATTTTTTCAAATTCTTATATTATTTGTCATGCCACCTCAATGTGCTGTGTTGAGCTGCAGTAGAACCCACTTAGTCTTCTCGAATTCTTATATTATTTGTCGTGCCACCTCAATGTGCTGTGTTGAGCTGCAGTAGAACCCACTTAGTCTTCTCAGATTCTTATATTATTTGTTGTGCCACCTCAATGTGCTTTGTTGAGCTGCAGTAGAACCCGCTTAGTCTTCTCAGATTCTTATATTATTTGTTGTGCCACCTCAATGTGCTGTTATTATCATGCTCAACTTTCGTGAGAGCTAATGATCATAGTCTTTTACATTCTTCTTCCGTAGTGACTGGATCGATTGTTAATGTTGTGTTTTTATATTGTCTAGTTTTCGTGGTATATTTATTGCTGAGTGGTCTATACTGCTGCAGGTTACTCTGAACCAGCTAGAGCATAATGAATATACAAAGAGCGCTCAACTGCAAAAGAATGGCTCTTAAGATCAGGTTTCAATGAAAACATGCCTGAACGTGATTAATGACATCAAAGTTCCCTTGTAACCCGCCCTCAGACGATTATGAAAGGTTAGAAGTTCGTGCCATAGTTACAGTATTCAGATATTTACACCACATGAAACATTATTCCATCGTCTAATAATGCCATTCATAAGACATCCAGACTTACTGTAACCCCCTGATAATTAAGACTTCTAAACAGGAAGATTCGATTGAAGCTTGTCTCAGAATGATTACTATAGATCAAAGCTCAGCAGAAGCTAACCGGACGATAATTATAGATCAGGGTTCAGTTAGAAGTTAGGTTAAACCACGGAAAATAACAACTGTCATCTTTGTGCGATTCCATATCCTCGGACTGCTGAAAGCACAAGGATGCCTGTCGGGCACTGAGTTATAGCATAATAAGATGCTCCACAAGAAATTCGTCTAGGACTCAAATCTGCAAGTTGTATGTGTTGTTGTTTAGTGTGACTTGTGCAGTTGGATCATCTTGAGAGTGTAGACCGGCAGTGGTTGCGCTATACCACTGCTCCTACAACTTTTTATTTTATTTTATTTATTTATTTAAATTTTAGCAATCAGAATATTACATAATTCTATAAGCTAAAATGCTGATTACTCATTAGATATACTAATGACTAGTGGCGTGAATAGGTTGATATCCAGCGAAATCACCTGTACAATCTATAATTAGTATCTATACGCTATTACAACTGCAACTCGGTGAAGAGGCGACAGCGGTGGTGGCTGTGTACCTGGGCTGCGTTCTACTCCTGTAGCTGTGCGGGTACCCCTCTCTTATCGACTATGGCTGCTCTTGCTGTTATCCCTTCAAATTAGGTGCCCATCGAGGTATAGCGGGGTGGAAGGAGTGGTAAGATGCTAATTTAACATACTCACTGGTAGTCTGCCACCGGTCTGTCGGACTGAGATCTCTTCGAGTGCGGAGGTTTGGAATAACCTCTGACACAATGGGGAGTGTAGTTAAACACATCTTTATTTTCCACTATATATATATTAGGGGCGTAGTCGGTATAGCGACTGGCTACGGGCTGTACGAGATCGAATCCCAAGAAGGTAAAGAATTTTCTTTCCTCCATTTCGTGCAGAGCGGCTTTGGAGCCCATCCAACCTCCTATCCAAAGGATACAGGAGGCTCTTTCCCGGGGGTAAAGCGGCAGGGGCATGAAGCTGTCTACTCACCTGAGACTAGTGCCGAGGCCAAGAAAATGTGGATCTATACATGCACTTTCCCATATGCTTTCATGGCGTAGTGCTTAATTAGTTAAGATCAGGGACAAACTTACCTTTTACATATTAACACATATGTTGCCAAAATGCCATTTAATATCCTAGTAGCCCTGGGTCGATGGCCTAACCATATCTGTGTTTCACTGGCTACAGTTCCCCATTCAGCTTATTTTCGAAGGACGTGAATACGATGGTGAATTGTTCCACATTTTGTACACATAAGTGGCTCCCGCAACCGCTGATCCAGGGGTGTTTATCATGTGACCTCAAGTGAGTCATCTTTTCGGATTGAGCTAGTTCTAATTCCTGGCCAACCTGTACGTCCGCATGTTTGCGCGCGGTAGTGACCTTAATGTTGACTACAGTGGCCTACAGTCCTGCCTTGCAGTACTGTTGTCCAAACAATTTCTTCCTGGTGTTATCAAAATCCAAAATTCTATGATTTTATATATCTATGATCTTCCCGTTATGTTGCATCCACTTCTACAGCAGATTTCCCAATAAAATCCTTTCTGCGTTTCCTTTTCTCCTCTGCCCACCCTATCATGAACATATCGATTTGATTACCCTAATTATATTAGGCGAGGTTAATAAATTATGAAGTTCTCTGTCATGTACTGATCCATTTTTACTTCGCTTCTGTTCGGGCTGAGAGTGATTTGGTTGAAACTTAGTGAGAGACAAAGTGAATTACAGGAAATAAACTTCTCCCTATAAAATCAACTTACGGGTCGCACCATTTTGATTAACATCAAGATGAAGCCTGTGGTCATTTGAAACTTCAAATATTTTAGAGGACTCTACTGCTCATATCCTCAGGAAAAAGTCGCCATATTCAACAAAATAATCATCCGAGCACTCATTCTTGTGTAATGTCAGTGACCACCTAGACGATAGCTTTGTGTTTTAAAGTAGAAGACCACAATATAAAATTTTGCTAGTACGAAAAACTTAGATTTCAATACAAGCATGGCTTTGTTCTTTGTCATTACGTATATATTTCTAAGGATTCAGTTCATATTCCCTGAAAAAGGGAACAAACTCTATTTAATTTTAAAAGTTCGACAGTTTTATGGAAGATTTCACAAGGCCTCCACAAATTTGAAGAATACAAGATAAGAGAAAATTGAAAGGAGACCAAATTCTGATTACATAAGACATTTTACCCTCACCACATAAAAGTGAACTTAGTTAGAAGTGATGAAGTTGGGAAAGTAAGGAGGCAGAGTTTCATCCTTTCCAGTGTGGCCTGACGTGCCAATACACTTACGAGACACCATTTCGCCCACAGCACAGCTGTCTCTTCCTATACTAAGACTAAAATCCACCGTCACGAGGACTACCAATGCCAGTATTCAGGAAAAAACATGGTCCCTTGGGATCTTCTCAAGTTTACTTTGTTTCTCTTTCCTTCTTTTGTCTTCCCGTTCCTGCTTACCGATGGTCATTCTTACGTCCAAGGAAGAAGATGGCAGTTAGGTAAGATATTTATTATGGCATGGGATCATATTCTTTCTATGCTTCCTCGTAAAGTCTCGATTTTATAGGATGGCAATAAGCTGTTTAGCTGAGTGTCAGGATAGGGATACAGTCACTGCAGACACGCCCGATACCACGCATAGTGGTAACCTACCACCAGCACCTCTTTCAGTCTCGCATTATCACTCACGAACGGCGTATTAGCTATGGATCACTTCGTTCCCTGAGTGTTCGTCATAATAACGAATTCATCCAGGAAAATGTCTTGGAGAACTGAGAAATGAAAGTTATACAAAGTGAAAGGAAGCGGCTATTGTGCGAAATCCCACCACACCCTTCCTTGGTCTGGACTAGTAGGGATGGGTGAACCTCTGAGAGTAGTGTTCTATACTGTGCATATAACTGAACTCATTAGGGTATGAAGGTAAATACTAAAAATCACATGTGCTCTATAAATAACAAAGTTGTCCCTGTGCTTAACTACTTAAGCGCTACAACCATGAAGATATATAGAGGAGTGGATGTACAGATCCACACTTTCTTGGCCTCGGCACTAGTTGTAGGTGAGTGGTCAGCTTCGTGTCCCGCCTGCATTACTCCCGGGGAAAGAGCCCCTGATACCCATTGGATAGGCGGCTGAGCGGACCCAAGAGACGGCCTGAAAGACGTGGAGAAGCGAAAATTCTTGACCATACCGGGACTCGAAATCCGACCCTTCTCTCGTCCAGTACCTAGCCAGTCGCTATACCGACTGCGCTATACTGGCTCCCACATATACTATAAGGAAAACTAATACATTCACAATAGATCTATATATCTCTCTATGGCTTTACAGTCATCCTTTAAACATTGGTCGCGTTTTCAGTTTATTAATATTTTTACACAAAGGGTGGGACTCCTTGGACGGGGGATCAGCCCGTCGCAAGGTCGCTACCTGCACACAAGGCAGTGCAAACACAGAATAAGCGCATACAGACATCTATGCCTCAAGTGGGATTTGAACCCAAGATCCCAATGTTTGAACGAGCGAAGAGTGTTCATGCCTCAGACCGCGTAACCACTGTGAACAACATTCAAGATTTATAATTGAACAAAATTAGAATGAACCATGTAATCCATATCAAATCCTACTTTCGAAGTGTGTCAAATGAAATTACCAGATAACACAAATATGTCGTCACATCCCTAAAGTTACCAAAAATACGTCATCTGAAAGTCAACCTAATGGAAATCTGAAGCAGTCCAAGACGCTTCAGGCACCAGGCAGTATGTAGTCACGTACTCACCTACTCACGTGTTCTGTATCTGCAGACTGACGAACAAAGGAATCACCACGACAGGAAGTGACGTGGAGTCCGGCAACCACACTCCCCACGAGAAAAACACGCGGAATCATCAAGCAGCGAGTTTTAACTTCCCTGAAGGTTAGTAGTGACTCTAACTCCTGACCAACGCCCTAAATCTGGGGCTTCTCATTGGTCCTCTTTGTGTGTCCTAACGTTTTGACCATATATGGTCTGCGACCTGCTGTAAGGCTTCAGTATTCTAAAATGTAGTAAACCTTTAATCCATGCGTGCTGCAGTCATCCTAACCTTACGCACTGTCCCAGCACCCGTACGCATGCCAACTACGTGGTGGCTTACTGATTCTGGGAAGTTTTATGTCACACCTACAGAAGGGCGAGTCTAGCATAACAGGTTCTCTTGAGAGAAGGCGTAGACAGAAGGATAATATTGAAATGTTTCATTTTGTGAAATAGGCTGTGAATGCGTGAATTGTATCCGACACATGTAAATATTCACTTTTTGGGTATTATCAATTGTCCTGTTTTTATTTATTTAAAACAATATTTCGGAATTTGCGGTCTGCCTCCGTCCTCAGACAAAAAGCATATTCAGTCGGGTCTAACTGATAGAGCTAGTCCCCATCTCTGGAGAAAGGAACAAAGTTTCGGAGGCTGGACTCTGCCTCTGCCTCAGATAAAAAAAACCTACTCAGGTGGGCCTAATTCATAGAGCTAGCCCATGCCCCTGGGACAACGGCTTTTCAAATAAATACAAACACGACAGTGGACAATGCCCAAAAAATCAATACCTTTACTTATACACCATCGTCACGAACCATCTTGTATGCAACAAATATCAGTAACGTGCTTTTGTCAATATGATTATGAACATTTTGGGCTCCATAAAAGCAGGGAATATCTTGATCAAGCGAGAAACTATTGACTTCTTTAGGAAGATTCTGTGTCATGACAACCAAAATAACATCAAATCGTCAACACGGCACAAGATCATGAAGACGTATAGGGAGTGCAGAAAAACTAACACATTTCAATCCCAACAATAGATGTAAGCTATGACCGGTATGGCACCAGAGAGGAGCCTCCGATTATCAATTTATAGCTTTGAATTGATAATTACTACTATACAAGGAATTATTTATTCCTGATTGTCTGCATATAAAACTTAGTGGAACTTACTTGTTGAAGAGCACTATATCCGGTTTCCATACTTTGTCTGGCGGAAGTCTGAGGACCCCGATGCCACCGTAGTCTGCTTCGTCCCACTGCAGCTGGTAGTCACTCCACACCTTGAAAAACAGAACGTATTAAAGTTGTGCACAACAAGAAATCAAGAGTTGTGGTCAATATACAAATATGCTATCAACAAGCACTGCCCATCTTCTCTGAAACTGAGACAAAGATAGATTAACCTATTCATAAGGGGTTGACAGTATGGTTGAAAATTTGCTGAAGGCAAGAATTGTGAAGCCAGCTGAGACAGACATTGCTAAGGAACGTATTTGCAAACACACCCGTTTCTAGGTAACAGATTTGTAAGAAGCAACACTGGAATAACTGGGAAGAAACGTTCTCTACGCGCTACGTGACACAACAATAGTAGAACTGTTGGCATTGATGTTTTTGTGTGGTCCATTCCGAGCCCACATAACCAGAAGCAGCTGAGATTACGAGCGAGCCTTGAGACGGCAGTCAGAAGAGCAGGGCTGAGTTGTGAAGCAGTCGCCGGCCAGTAAGGTATTCGATACGAAAGTTGACAAAGCTACGGTCTTGAGCTCGTTACCAGGAGACATGCGGTTAAGATGTAGCAGACTACGAAGGATTCGTAAGTGCTACAGTGAACTGCAGATTGTGTGAATTAGCGTTAGCACTGTAGTTACTTGTAGTTACGTTCTGCAGGAATTCAATAAATGCAATTAACAATGCAAACCCAGTCTATAGTCACTCAATCACGTGACACTATGATTACTGTGTGTGTGGACTTGTGGCAAGGCGATTAATTAATAAAGTTAAGGATTAGAGTTTTCTCTCAGTAGTGACTATAAATAACACTGCCTTCTGGGATCTGACTCCGTGTAATTAGATATAAATTCACAGATGTTTTCAGGAACATATCAACTCTATCTTCAGGGTCTAAGAGTATGTCATGCCAATAATCAGCAAGAAGTAGAACCTGCTTGCCGCCTTCTTCTTACTGATTACTTACTAAGTTTACTCTTGAAACCTGAAGATGGAGGCAGGTCCTTCCATTGAAACGTCAGTGAAACTCCATCTACTATTAGCAATCCCAACAGGTTGCACCCTTCAGAGACCAAGTTAGTAGTTACATATTGTTTATGAGGCAGAGGGTAAATCTGATCACATTCGTGGTCTGAGATCCTATATTTGCCACACATTTAGGCTGGCCTGTGTGTTCGGCGATTAGTTGCTTCGTTGGCCACGAAGAGTTAAATGTTAACTGTGAAGTACATAACTCCGTGGCGAACGTATAGTGTCATTTCACGATAATGGGTAGGTATACCTTATTTGATGTCACAACGTGTAGGGCATTGGAGGGACCCCATAATTTGTGGCAAATCCATTACCATCTCAATTCGATATTATAAACATTTGCATTTTTAGCGCATTTTTTCCTGGATTTCTGAATGAATCATACCGTAATCAGAATTATTGTTTGTAAAAAAAGCCACACGCTGTATAACAAGCTGATTTTAACAACACAGATTTAATGAGCCCTAAACAAGCAACTCGAGCAACGTCTCTCATGTGGTAAAGATTCTGACTTGTATTTCGATGGTGACCATTTGGAACCTCGGTTGGGATATCCACTACGTTTATCCATGCTCTTAGTGGGTTTCCGTAGACTGTCCGGTGGAACTACAGTATCACCACGTCACGCCACGTCACGCCACTTCTCTCTTCTATCCAATTTTTTAATTCATTCGTCGTGATTAGCTTCTCATTACAGATTATCACCAATTATAATTTGATATGCATCATTACATAATCAACGATACATCACGTCAATAAACAGAAGACACCGACTATATATTTGTGGCTCATGAACATATCTGTAAGTACAGTGACAATCTACGGGACGGATGGTGTTCGATTCCCGGGAGGGACTGAATACTTCCTTCTTTTTACAGCGTCCAGAAAGACTCCGGAGCTCACCCAGAATCATGCCCAAAGAATATCAGAAACACCTACCTGGGGGTAAAGCGGCTGAAGCGTGAAGATGATCACTCACCTCCATCTCGTGACAAAATTAAGAATATGTGGAGATATACCTGCGCCCCACCATACGTCTTCATCGCATTAATGCATAAGTACAGGGCTCTAATATTTTACTACAGTAAATAATTTGTAGGCAGGTACAGTAAATAGTTCACTATTTAGTTTAATAACAAATATTCTTAACTGACAACGATTTCATATACGAGCATATGAGTCATACTCATCGACATTTAAATTCGAACTAGCATAAACCCGATGAAATTCCATCTAGAAATGCTTCATGTTATGAGTACCGTAGCTACTCATACGGTATATACAGCTTCCTTATTACAACTGTCACAACACAACTAATATCAAGATCAGTGTCTTGTTTCGGCTGTGCTACATGTTTCGGCTATTAATTGCCATCATCAGGAAAATACATGGTTAACATATATACACCACTGAACCGCAGTACTAGTAAAATTGGATGCAATATTATTAATATATAAAATATTTGACGTAAAAATATCATAAATTAGATTATATAAAACGAAAGTTATAGTATGAAACAAGAATAAAATTGTAAGATTTGAGGCTTTCACGGCGGTGACTATGAAGAAAGCAGTCTTCTGGGNTCGATAGGATGCATGAAATGAAAATCATACAGTATGTATTTCACTGATAAATTCGTATGTGTAATAGCGTTCAAGGAACACTGAAATGGATATTTCACTCAATTTTCACACTATGAATTGGAAAGTTCTGGAAGGCTTCCTATGTTTACACGAAGAGAATATAACATCTTGATAGAGTAACAATAGGCACTAAGCGGTGCTGCTATCTAGAAGTACGCTGCGAAGTAATCCAGAAAATATGACACTGAAATACTGACTCGGCATAAATTTCAAAGCCGTTTACTGCTTCCGTCTTCTACTTCTGTTCGTGACTACCATTAACTCTAACCTCTAACAAAAGTAACAACTTAAGAGCAAGGTTTAGTTTTTTATGCATGTATTTGTTGTGACTAATCAATTTTGTGAACAAGCGAAGCAAAGATTGGTTTTTGTAAACACATATCAATTTTAGTGGAAGAGTTCCTAAACTTGAATATACGAGTATTTGTAGCGACAAGCTCATTCGAAAGAGATAACACTGCATGATTGTTTTGAAGCATTTAGCCAACAGGGAACAGTTGTAAATTAGCTGGCAGTGAGTGTTGTATTTGCTTCGTATCAGCCTGATAGCGTGAGAATGCTTCAGTGAGAGATTGTATTGATCAACCCTGAAAATAGGGGTTTTAGAGACATGCGCTTCTGTAACACGTAAATGACATTCAGGTGTCTCTTCATTTTTGACACTAATGTTTTCGAATAAGTACAGCCTTTTGCTTCTAAAAGCCATCGGATTACAGACATCTCAGGGGGTAGAGTGTCTACAGATGCTGTTAAAGTATATCTTTTTCACGTTCTCAACCCAATACAAAGTAATATGCTTATTAGTTTCGCCATGTCTGCAACTAACAACCTGAGAACCTCGAAATGGATTTATATGAAATCTGACAATACTGAGTTTGGGTTAAAATCGGAAAATAATAAGATACAGTTTACACGAGGACATTTATCTCTATCTAAGTATTTATCAGGGTGAATAATAGTGCCATATGTAAGGCGTACGCGTGATGAAAACAACGAATTCTAGTTCGGATGATTGGATTTATAAACACTTCGGTTACAGTTTCTCTTAATCAATTAATAGAGCGCTGATGCTGATTTACACAATTTCAAGTTAACCGTTACAAACGGACTAGGGTTCTCAGTTTTCATTAGTCGTCTCCTAGCAAAGGATCTCAACACAGAAACTGGCGCATCAAATCACGGTGAGGTCTACCGAGAGGAAGGTGAACGTCAGACGATGTAAGCCTCTACCAAGCAACGACAGTAAAGACGTGTAATAATGAAGTGTAAATTGTAGTCTCACGCTGTATCCAAGTGTCCAATAAATCGAGACATTAATCTAAAACCCATCCATATTTACATTACATAAATCACGTGACATTATATAAACGTATTATCTGCCGATTTTCCCTAATATGTGAAAATTAAATTAATTTTCAATCTGGTGAGTGCGTAACCGGGTCGGAATTAGGAACCAGAAATTCTTGAATACAAGAGTCATCACTTGTAAATTTATTTTAACAGAATTTGAAAGTTTTATTATCGAGTTCAAATGTATTATTAGAATATTCTTTGAATAACTTCTCCTTAGAGAAGTAAAAAGTAAAGCTATCCCTGTAACAGGCCGTGAAAGCTCATAGGATTGTGAGACGTTAAGGGTCCCACATTACCTTGACAATCGGCTCAGAGATGGCGGTAAGTTTGTCAGCCTTACGCGCCGGCCGCGCTTCACTCCCCAGGAAAATCATTTTAATTAATTCCTGGTACTCATTTCTGTTAGAGGCTGAGTAAACTCCAGGGCCTGGTGCGGCCGGAAGGATTAGGTCAATTGAAAAAATCCAATGACCTAATCTGGACTTGAACCCGCGACCTTCCGGCTTGTAGCATAGTATCTTAACCACTACGTAGTAGTATTATCTCTTCCAGAAACTTAGGGTCAGACCAAGAACTGAGGGAGTTACATGAAACCCCTGAATTAGTAGCCGGAATTAAAGTAAATGAAATGGTTGGGATCGGGTCATTAGGTTAGAATAGATCACAGAATTGTTGCTAAGAATACATTTTTTTTTTAATTAAGTCAGAAAGTAAACGAGAATTGTAAAGCCAAACTGAACTGGTGGATTGTATACAGAATGTTTTGAAAGCAAGAAATAAAAATATGAGACCAAAAGAAAATAACAGAGAACAGTGGATATTTGTCGTAAGTCGGACTGAGTGTATTATGGGATTCTTTTTCTTTTTCAATGGCTCTTCCAGCCAATTCAGGGCCCTGGTTTCTAACTCAGTTCCGTAATCATTTTTCGCAGACGGTAGCACTCCTTGGACGAGTGATCAGCTCGTCACAGTGCCTCTACCTAAACACAGAATAAATGCTCACACACACGCCAAACAATCATGCCTTAAGTGGGATTCGAACCCACGATCCCAGCGTCCGAGCGAGCGAAGGCAGTTCATTCCTTAGAACACGCAGCTACTGTGACCGTTATTATAAGACACTAGAGCCGAGGAATAAGCAAGGAAAGATTTTAGTAAATAAATGAATAAATAAATAAATAAGCTTAGAATTAACCAGCCACTTTTTCACAAAGGGTCTCGTTCCTGTTTATTATCTCTTCTTCCGATTGGTTTTTCTCAGGCGTGTTCAGTATTTTCAGTGGCTCAGTTTTCACCTTCTAAAGTTATTTTAATATGTCAGCAGCATTTATGATAAGACCCAGTTATTTTGTAACTACCAGCTAGCTTTACATGAAACTGACTTAGTTTTCCCTTACACCTACCCTCGAAATTATACATTGTTTATTAATTCCCAAAGGTTTGCTCTTTACGTTACAAGTTTGTTGATGGTAATTAGTGCTTATAGATCATAACAATGTCTGAAGCTGGAATATCTCTCTTGAAAACTAACTCGACTCTTCTGCTCCGAAAGCTGTCAGTAGTTTGAATTACAGAACAAAAGACACGTTCCTAGAATTCATTTGGTTAATGAGCCTGTGTGGTATATACTTTCAGGGAATTCTGCCTCCAGAAATTCGGCACTTCATGAAAACTGTGTTTTCTCTGAGTTTCATTTCTTTCTTTACCCCGAGATTTCTTCCTTTCTTTTTTAATTAATTTATTTGATAATTTTTCATTTCCCTCTGTTTGTTTCTCATTCTCCTATTCCTCCACCTTTCGCTTCTAGGTGTTACTATCCAATTCGAAACTCAGCCAAGTGTTGTGTAGAGGTTTCTTTTTTCTTTCCTTTCATTCACTTCACTCTTTCATTGTGTTCTTCCGTTTCTGTCCCTCATAATCCTCCTTCTCTTTCAGTTTCTTGCTATTACAGCGTAACTTTGGAAAGGACCTAATTTATTGCGGAGGTTTTCTAAATTATTATAAAGACATGACGTGTGAGCTTTCGGGAATTGTTCACAATCACAAGACAACACAGAACAATACGAATAAATATCCATGCCGAGATTGATATTCAAAATGGCGATTTCACTGTCTGAGCAGCGCATGGCTATGCAGCCACCAGATTCAACCTTCATTAACTTTCTCCCATGGTTCATCATGTCCGTAATTTCTATTTGTGATGTTACAGAAGATTCAAGGAGTTTAACATGGTCCTCCCTCGTTAGTATCTCAAGAGACTTCTCATTCCGTGGCTTGGTTAGCAGCAGCAATAATTTTATTCATAAAAAAAAGTAAAGTAAAGCTATCCCTATAACAGGCAGTGAAGAGCCATAGGGTTGTGAGACGTTGAGGGTCCCACATTATCCAGAGTCTAGACAGTCGGCTCGCAGATGGCGATAAGGTTGTCAGCCTTACGCGCCGGCCGCGCGTTACTCCCCAGGAAAATTATTTAATTAATTCCTCGTACTCATTTCTGTTAGAGGCTGAGTAGACCCCAGGGCCTAGTGCGGCGTGTAGCACAGCTGCATTCTTCATTCATAACCTTAAATATTAGCAACACTGCGAAGTCTGTATTTTTGACAGAATATTAAATCATTCATACAGAACCTCTAGGTATAATTTTAATGTACTTTCACAAAAATCCGTAATGTCTAGCTCTAACACTTTAATGGTTACAGCCGTGAAGCGATGTTAAATGCAGATAAATTTTTGCAGCGTGTTTGGGTTTACAACCTTCGTTAATGTAAAAGAGAGAAAGGAACGTCAACACAAATCATATACTCTTTTAGGATACTCAGAATTACTGAGATTTTGTACCTTGTCCATCGTCTGGTATTCTAGAAACTAGAAAACGAGACGTTTCGGAAACTAGACCTGTTTCCGTCCTCAGGTGATCGAGGTTAACTCTTTCTAACGGGCCCAACTGAGTAGATGGATTCCGCCCATCGCCTGAGGACGGAAGCAGATTCAGCTTCAAAACGTTATGTTTTTTAGTTTCTACAATACAGAACGATGGGTAAAGCTCAAAAAATCTAGTAATTCTGAGTGTTATACACCATCGTCAGAA